ATATAATCTGGATTTCCCAGCTAATTTTGTAGGATGCTCTCACGCAACTTACATCGTTGTAATGTTACCGCTAAATTCAACTAAACCCCTCCTACGAAAGAGTACACCTCGAGCGACGCCCTGTCGCCCATCGGTCGTTTAAAACCTTGTAACTTCATTATATTGAGTATTCATTCAATATAACTTTGTAGAAAGTTAGTCCTTTATAAGAGCTACCTTCAGTCTTAATTTTATATCTGAATTCAACCTAAAACTACCTTGGGGCATAGCATTTTCACATTCTACCCAAGTTAAACATATTATTAGTTATCCATCAAAAGTAGGCCCTAGCCAATCATATTTCAATATAGTTTGCCAATAACTGTCAGTATGAACTTGTAAAAATATGCACTATAAAAGGTAGATTGTAATTGTATAGCTCAGAGTTGAAGCTACAAGCTAGAGTGTAAAGAAACTGTGTTGGTGCCTCTCAATAAAACCTTTTTGATCCAAGTACCTGCTCTATTGAGTACATCCCACAGCTTACAAGCCTACAAGAAAAGCCTTGTAACACTGTAATCAAACATGGTTTTCGACCAATCACAGCGCGCGTAGTATCCTAAATATTTTAGAAACCTAAATCACAAACATCCTGTCCTATGCTATGCTATATGGTAAGCTTTTTTACAAATAAAAAAACTTCTGCTATTCTCACCTTGATTGTTCCTGCAAGTTTACTGTCAGAAACAGCAAGCTGTTCGTGGGCATCTTTAGCAACTATCTTCTTCAAGAGTTTCTTCAGCCCTTTACCCATCTTTCCCTCTACAGCAGCCGTTGTTGCTGACAAATACAACACATATTTAGGGATATTTATATACAGTTTATTGGTATTTACAGCCAAACCTACTGAAGCGTTCCTATCGAGGTTGGAAGGCTCGATTTATTATTCCAAATTTGGTTCCAAATTTATATTTAAATGTGCGAAAACAAAACCGACAATGTAAATTTCAAATCTGATGTCGATTTGAACCTCGATTCCTGATTGGATTATTCCAATAATAAAACGAAGTTCATGTTGGGTAAAGCGTGGGGATGACGTTCACTCGTTCGCGGCAGTGCATTCCAAAAGTTGTTTCACGATGTCGACGATACAAGGATGGTTTCTGATGCTTCCATACCTCTATGTCCTCCAGAATATCATATGTCAAAGCAACAGGCTGCTTACCGCTATGTCCTAACGGATTGACAGAGCCATACCGACGATAATGTTCTATGACGTTTGTTACGCACCGAAAAGTTACGCGAAGCCGTTCAGAAACTTCCGTTTTTGTGAGTCCGCCGTTAAATAATTGTATAATGTGTTGTCTTTCAGCAATCGATAAAGGTTTTCCTGGGGTGTACGGCCACTGAAGACTATTCACCGCCGCCATTTTTTTTCGAAATATGCAACGTACTGTTTATTTTTGGAATAATCCAATCAGGAATCGAGGTTCAAATCGACGTCAGATTTGAAATTTACATTGTCGGTTTTGTTTTTGCACGTTTAAATATAAATTTGAAACCAAATTTGGAATAATAAATCGAGCCTTCCAACCTCGATAGGAACGCTTCAGTAGGTTTGGCTGTAANTGTGATATCATTGGTGGCTAGTTATTTTTACCAGTTACAAGGTTGTTCATTTGATTCCTTATCCCTCTCATCAACTCTTGAACAGCAGTTGTTGATACGCAAGTAATGTTTAGCTTGTCCTAAAAACAGGAAAATGTTTTGCTTGAGAAACAAAACAAACAACAAGCAAAACAAAAACGCAAAGTTGCCAGTTACTTCTCTTGATACCTAAATCACAAACATCATGTCCTATGCTATGCTATATGGTAAGCTTTTTTACAAATAAAAAAAGAACTTCTGCTATTCTTACCTTGATTGTTCCTGCAAGTTTACTGTCAGAAACGGCAAGCTGTTCGTGGGCATCTTTAGCAACTATCTTCTTCAAGAGTTTCTTCAGCCCTTTACCCATCTTGCCCTCTACAGCAGCCGTTGTTGCTGAAAAATACAACACATATTTAGGGGTATTTATATACAGTTTATTGGTATTTAATCCACACGACATTCTGTTTTCTGTTATTTCTCATAAATTCATTCCTCTGATAGCAAAGACAACAAGATAACTGCATGAGGMATAGTAATATTTCATGGAAACTTCTTGACAGATAAGTAGAAATACTACAAAAATACTAAAGTTTTCCAAGATAACATTAAAGACTATTTTAATGTGGCTCCTCATGCTTTCAAGGCTCCCGAACAACAGGCTGCTCACTTGAGTACGCCATATTATTCCCTTTGTTACTGGATATAATTTAGAATTTTGTTTCTATAACAATTGCTATAGAGGACCTACAGGGTAAGGATATCTTTTCACCTGAGAAAGGACGCTGTTCTTACACAGTAACTTAAATCAAGATTTTCAAGACCCTTTGAATTTCTGGTCACATATTTAACCGCATTTTATTACCTGCTAGAGCTTCAGTAGTGTCTTCAAACTTGTGAAAATGCTTCAGCTTTACACTAAAAATATCCAAATGAACGGTAATGCGATAAGTCAGTATGATCGAGCAAGGATTGTGAATCACTTTAGCATTCAAAACAAAAGTTTGTGTATGGTCTTCAAACTTGTATAAAACATCCATAAAACTACTGTTAGTGCCTTGTTAGTGATAGAAATTGAAGTTCAGCCAAGATATTCATACTCACACTTTGCTTGCTGCATCAGGACTCTCGAATTCTTTGTACAAATCATCCACATTCTTSAGTTTTTTCTCGTCTAACAGCTGTGATCAAAACGAAGTCCATATTATACTAGAAGTTTTCTTGCTAATTACCCCAAMACTTAAAAAATACATTCCTTGCTCATTAATTTATGATTCATTACCTTRAAAACTGCATATCCGGCCGGGGTTTCGAATAAAACTAGCATTTTTAGCGAGGGTTTTCACAACGAACTCAACTCTAGCTGAACTTCTCGCACGTGGAAAARCTGAAACTTAAGAAACCGCTGACCACATATGCTCGCACTGACACCCGAACGTCCAAGCGCCGATGAATACTGTGAAACTCTGGGAAATTGTTTTACTCATTTGGCAGGTTTGATTTTTTATTAATTGTTGTTTTAAGCACGTTAATTCTGGATTTGAACCAATTTCATAACAACAGCCCAATTTTCCTTGATAATTGTTGGGTCACGCACGAAACACTGAAGTGAAATTGACACGAAACTCCAGGGAAACGGGAATGACTTTAGAAACGTGTGCATTGATTGTTACACGTACGAAGGACATCTTCAATAGAAGAAGCTTTGCCAAAAAGTCGATTTGGTGTTTTGTAAGAGGTATTGTAAGTCTTAAATGTAAAAACGCCTAGACGCGCGGCAGTCAGTAGTTGAAAAGTGATGCTTTAACACTTTGGCATAATACCTGAATTAACTATRKGATTGTTATAGAACAAAGCGCATCAACGTACTACACGAATTCACGCTAGTCGATTGGGGTATTGTATGGATTTTGTATGTGCTGGTGTTTAGCTTGATATCGAAGCCAGAATCATCCATTGTTCATTGTACACTGATATGTCTTGTGTCGAATCTCGAGTTATAGATTCGTGACCTGTAGCTGTACGTTCAATATATTATTTCCGCGATGTGTTTGCAATGTGGCTMTTTAGTATTAGGTTTTGCTATAGATATGGGAATTAGTAATGTAATTGTTCTTAGTCCTAATGCAGTTTTATTAGATCRGAGTCTAGATCGCCTTCAAGCATGACTTTTGTTTCGATTTTTTGATATACACAGCTTTGAACATAGTTAACTATTAATCAGCTAAACTGAGGGAGCCCGGGCTCGATAGAGAGATTACTTTGAAGTAGCCGATCGTCAATCATAGTTAATAACTAACTATGCGTCAATAAAAGAGTCTCAAAATATTCTAAAATCTATAATGTAATCTCCCGATCACCGAGGACAGAACCGAGATTTATCTTAAGCGATCGTTAGTGATGATCTTGAGTAGACGTGAGCGATCGCTAGCGATTATTTAAAAGCACATTTGCATCCCATGTGTTCGTCAGCAGCGTGGCATAGCGATATACTTTTTTACGCCCTTTTGGAAGCGGAAATTTTAAATTAAAAAATGAACACATGCAAACCACAGCTCTTCGAAAATTGCTATTATCCTAGGGTGCAGTCGAAATACCAGTCACAAAACAAAAATCTTTAGAAATCGGTTCATAAATCATTCGGCTATTATAACGTGCTTTTATGCTGGTTTCAATTTGGTTTTTGTTATAGTGAAAGGGAATAATCCARATCTGAAAATAGCATAATGACAGTACTAGTAGTCTAAGTAGAAAGATTTACAATATAATGGCAATTTTACTAATGGCAATTTGTACTGAAGAGGAGGCCTTTCTGTTTCCACATTTTCTGCACCAATTTTGGTAGCAGAAATGAAATCAACACTGCACTGATGTTAGAGCTCCTTRTTACAGTTTGACGCTTCTGTCTTAATCGGTTGGCGCTGGAATTTCAGCTCGATCAGCTCGTTATAAGGACTTTTCGASCGGATTCGCGGTGTCTCACAACAGATGTCATTTACACCATTTTTGCATTTTAAATCATGTCCTTGGTCATGACGTTTACGCCAGTTATGTGAGTGGGTGATTGACATTGTCATAACAACCGCTCTTCGTATTTCTTTCATCCTTGAAAACAAAATGATTGGGTTTAAAAGCGAGTTCCCGTAAATGAATACCGATGCAATACTCTCTGCTGCCCAAATGACTGCAGATTCACCAGTTATCGCAGCAGATATCGCAGTGAATAGGAATGGTAGGTAACAGAGGTTAAACGCTAGAAACACGTAGCACATCGTGTGCATAGATTTACTATAATTACAAGTGTTTTTTATCTTCAGTCTTGAAACGCCTTCATTCAAATTCCCAATTAGTCTCTGATGGTCTCTCAACGTCAGGAAACACTTTATATAACAAACCCATGCAATGACAACGCACGCAACGGTAATGGACGCAGCCACCTTAAAATATAGTGATCTGGGGGAATATAATTGTGAAGTCATGATAATGAACGCCGAGAGCCACAATGTTACTGCAATGATTTTCACYCTCTTATTTGTCACTAAAGTACGATATTTTGAGCCTTTATGTATGATAAGATAGCGATCTATAGCGATTSCCGTCATAGTGTAGAAGGAGACGGCCGTGAGGGCCCCACCTASGGCGTAAGTGATCACTCCTGTGCTGCAGTACACACGGAAGTCGTGCTCGAGCTCTGCGATCTTTTTCGCTAGCAGTGCGGGCTCAACTAACATCCCTACCAACACGTCYGACAAGGCCAGGCTGAAGAGAAGTTTAGTCGATGGTTTACGTATCTCAGACGAACGATACAAGGAAATAATCAACAAAATATTCAGAGCTATTGTTGGTAGAATAAGTATGGCGTCCAACGTCGCTGCAACGATGTAGACATYTCTAACTTGGTCGATTTTTGTCGTGTTGAAYGTCAAGAAGTAACACTGTTGGGTGCCATGGGAACCGTTACCATGCATGCTGGCTGGCTGGGGTCTTCAATMAGATATCGTTTTTCTGACCTGTTTTTTGCTTCTCTGGTTCTGCGTCCTATCGTGACATTCATGATTAGAARTGTGYTGTTAGAGAGTTGTTCAGTTATCCTTAAAACGTAAACTAATATCTTTTAATCTGTACGACATTAATTAGTAATTACGGAATTATGGTAAAACGAAAAGCAAAATAAATTAGCAAGTATAGATCATGATAAAATACTCGATAGAATATATGATATAGTATAACGGAAGACCTAAGCTGTATTGTTTCAACTAGTTATATATGAATGTAATCAGGCAATATATAGTGTTTTTTACCACTTGAAAACGGTTATAGATTATGAAAAATTAGTTAACAATATGACAGGTGTGAATTTGCACTCAGTTTTGAGAAGTTGAAATTAAACAAAAGCGAAATCCTTGAAGTCCTCTTCGTTTTTCATCATTTAAGTTTATATGAACGGCTTTCGTATTTAGTTCAAAATTGTCCAGCTGATGTTAAACATGAATGTATAATTAGTTGTTTTTTTTTTAAGATTGCGTTTTTCAAAGATGACAAAATACAGTGCTTAATGTCTACAAAAATATGCGTGAAATCTTCCTCTGTGTCATTAGCCAAGTTTTGACTGGTTATTTACCGTATTACCTAGTCGTTTTTCAAGCTAACCTTATGTTTCTACTTCTCGTAACAGTTCTAAATACTTAAAACTACTTGGCAACAGTATCACGTAACACATTATATARGCAACTTAAAACAAACCTGGAGTCCAAGAGACGAGCAGTCATAAACTGTTTAAATTTTCAGTAGCAGACAGATTTTTGAATGATAAAAAGAATTATCATTTGAATTCGAAACCTGTTATCGATTAAAGAATTTCTGAATACATTAGCAGTTTGTATCTTTTGARCAATCTACAAATCTGATAATGTGAGGGCTTTGATGTCATCATATATTTATTAGAGAACAACGTTTGAAATAGATTTGACAAAGTAAAATGATACATGTATCAATTTTAAAAGTTTAGTAAGTTTGAGATAAAAATCTTAAAATTGTGACAAGAGTTTAAGAATGTGGAAAACACAAGGTGGCCATAATCGCACCAGTCAGCCATGTATATATTGACACTAGGGTCAAGCTCTCACTCTCTCTTTTTTTTTCTTGTTGGTTTTTGATTTAATCTTTTTAATTCTGACAGTTATATTGATCGTTTTCATCTATCGCTTAGATATCTGCTTGTAGCTTTATAGATAGCAATTCATGGTATTCAATTAAAGATATATAATATATATTTATCATATAACTATCTTACCTCTATTTCACCATTACGTAAAGCTGTAATTTTTTCCACTATAGTGAAAATAACACATTCGAGGTTTCTCTATATAGTGGAAATAAGAAAAAGCTATTTTACGAGATAATTTGCTTTCATATGTAATTATGTGATAAACAGAATTCAATATTACCTGGTCGCTTGGAGMYRARWWTTWTMTYKWKAWAA